TTATGCACTTTCCTTTATATGATTTGTCCGGGAGATTTGGTGACCTGTATGGGAGACTGTGAGATTGGGTCTGTATCCAGGAGACTGTTGAATAATCCAGGAGAGTTGGCACAGATGGAGTAGTACAAAAATGCAGAGTGCAGAATAAAATGCAGACTGTGGTTTAAAACTGTTTTTTTTTTTCATCTAATACATGATATCATGCTGCAGCCAGTTACCTGTTATATGTCCTCCTTGTGCCTTGTGGCACATACGGCCTTTACAAAGGTCCTCCAGGCCACTTTTCTCGGTTTGCTGCTATTTTTCTTATTTCCTCCCATGAGCTCCACCCTGCCTCTTTCCCTTTCTACTGTCCATCTCCATGTTGTCTTAGGCCTTCCCCTTCTCCTTTTTCCTTGTGGTGCCCAGCTTATTGCGATGTTACAATCATTACGTGCTGTAACACATCATTGTATAACTTACCAAGTGATTTCTGCAGGTTTCTTCAAATGTTTTGTTTTTAAGAAGGCAGCAAGGCCTCATTTGTTCCCAATAAAATTTCAAGCCTTCAAAGACTCCACACTTTGTGTGTGAGAGTTCAGTACAGTATGAAATAGCAACTAGTAATAAGATATTTAAGAACAAGTGAAAAAGAATCTTGTAGCAAATTTACAAATTAAAGAATGTCAAAATTTCCTGCATGTACAAGTGCAATGTGTCTTAATACAAATGAAGAACAATCGGCAAATTATTACAGGAAAAAGTAAAGCATGTTTTTCTTGTCTTGTCATTTGTTTACTTTTGTTGCCTGTTTTGTTTGGTAACTACTGGTAATTCAAACTTTCTTCAAAAATGACCACTGAAAAGCGATTGCGTGACACTTAGTAAGCTGTAAAAATATGAAATGTTATCAGGTATTTGAAAACAGCCTCCTTTCTCAGTCTGCATTTTACACCTAGTCTGCATAAATTTTTGTACCTGGTCTGCAGTCTGCATTTTGTATTGACCCCCTCTGAAATAGTCTTTCCCAAAGCAACTAGTGAACACTTGAACTGAATTGGGCAACGTATAACACACAAAGCTAACAAGGTCTAGTCTGCCCTTGAACTTCAAAGAACCTGATCTTTTTACACTCCAGGATTGCCAAAATTTTAATGCAAGTTATACAAAAGAAACTGTGCTTCCGTTTGTGTATATTACTGTATATGGATGTCTTGAGAAAGTAATGACTATGAAGGAGAAAATCTTTCCCAGCATATATTTACATTTCGTATATCTTTCCTTCTTCAGAGAAATATCAAGCATGAAATTCTACATGAAGAATCAACAAACTCTTTTTGGGAGAGAAGGCTGGACAACTTCAGATGCCATGTGTTGATGAGGTATGTTGATTGCTTACATATTCTACGTTTTAGGCAACAGAGGGGAACCTCTGAATCAGTTTAATGGGGATGCTGGTCAGCTGGCCAGCTTTCATAAATGTTTACAATTTTGAACCAAAATTGGAATTATACTCGATTGCTTATAATTTATGGTATATTTTGCTTATTTATTTTATTTTATTTTTTTTTTTGTTTCTATTTGTTTGGTTCGGAAAATATGCTGAGGTACGTCCTCGGTTTGAATGAAAAAAATATCTGTCATATACACTTTAAAATAGTCAACTTCTCCTTGGCTTTGACTCTGTCTGGAGCACAATAGCAGGGTTTTCAAATAATTTGAAATAGAGTAACAGGAGGAAATCGTTGGAGGAACGAGGAGGAGGAAATCTATTGGGTGGTGTTAAAGGCACCCATGTGGGGGAGAGTGCCAGAGTGGGTTACCCCCTCCTCAGGCAGGAGGGGGTAACCCTGGACAATCTTGAAAGTCTGTGTACACTGATATGGGGCGCCGTTTGTAAATTTATTATTTAGACCGAATTTATGCCATTTTCCCCTTATTTATAAA